ATTTAAAATAATAAAAAGTTATTATTAGTATTACTATTATTCAGATAACTATTATTAATATTATTATTTTTATTATTGTTACTTTATTAGTATTATTATTACTAGATTAGGAAAAGGAAGTCTATGTCTGCATAAAAACCTGCTGGTGGTTTACACTGAATCAGGCTATCGGATGTAAGCCATAGTAATAGGCATGTTGCGAAGCTTGCTGTTCACGAAAATCCACGAATATTCCTGAATTTTAGGCACTTATCACCCTGATAATGTACAGAAATTTGGATTTTTTTCAACATGTAAATTTTTTAGCTAAATCCCCTAAAATATTTTCGAAAAGAGATTGTATCCGAAGAAGCTTATTACAACGTGCAAAATTTTAGGATTCCGTGACTTGTCTTCCTTCTTTTTTTTCTTTGAGTTTTATTTTCCTGTTGCGTTATTACTGCTCACCATGAAATCCTGAATCGATAAACCACAGGTAGTCTAAGTTGGTGTAAAACCAACAGCATTCAATGTCAGGAAAACACAAGACAGACAAGAGAAACCTTAACCTCATGCTTCGGTTCGCTTGATCTCCTTAGTGTTTCAGTTCCCACTGTTTCACATTCGGGGCCGTTTCATACTGGCAGAATTTGCAGACAGTCCTCTGGTCTTTCACATCGCTCTGCTATTTTTTTCTCAGTAACACCGACAATTGCACTTCAACTAAAGTTGATGGACCTTGATGGCCCCAGGATGCAGCAGTTCCTTTTTAGTGAGCCGAAAGGGCAAGCGGTTAATTCATCGATGACTTTTAAGATTTCGATAACCTCTGTGAACCAACATGAATATAATGTCTTTCAAAGGCATTGATTGAGACGAAATCACCATGAAAATATTTCTTTGCTGTTTCAACAGAGGTCATCGTTCACGCCTGTATAAACACTATCTCCATCGATTATATCTTTTATCCTTTACTCTATTCCGTTCTGGGTACTGACAGTCCAGTTACAACGTTGTATTTCGTTTTCCTTAGTTTTGATTGGATGAGAACGCGATAACGGACTGCTAAAAGCGCTATCATAATAGTTAAACGAACAATAGATCACTTGAAGTATGTGATGCCCTCGAAAAGTGACATCATTGCGAGTATAAAAAGTCATACTAACCAGACAAGTCACAGCTGAGATATTTTGATGGAGGAAGCACGCACTTCGTGATCATCTGATAGAAAACGATTTCTGAGGTGGAAGGACATGGTTCTAATTTTCTAGGATTTACCGGTCACTCATCGTGTTGCCATTGACCAATGTACGCCGTCGTCTGTAGTCAGAAGTTTTATTCAATAGTGAGTCACGTTCCAAGCATATTACACTTGTTTTATGCGAATTTTCAGGGACCACACCAGCCTGTTGATCAATGTACATCATCTTTGTGTTTCAGGTTACCCGGTGTTTTTGGTCAGATGCAACGTGCTAACAAAGGTCTTAACCAACAGCATATATTTTAAAAGCAAACTTGGACATCCTTCGGCTGGAACGTGCGTTTACTACAAGCCAAGAAATTCACAGGCTATTACAAACTGAGGTAGGATAATTAATTTGCCACAACAAGGGAGGAAAATAACAAACGTCATTCAAGCATAGTTCTGTGTTCAATTCGATTACTAAATTGAATTAACCTTCCTTTTTTTTTCACACCAATAACGGGCGTTTGAGTGAATGAGCTCTCTATTTATTAAATATTTGTTCACCTCTCTGCTTCCAATTAAAAACAAATAATTCGTTTACAAAAAGGGTCTTATTTAACTCTTAAATCAACACATTAAATCCAGCGTGAATAAAATAAAAATATAACAGTTGTCTCGCATTTCAGGAGAGCAGACCCGCCGTTTTAGGATAAAAGTAGGTAAATTATCACTTTGTCACCCCACGATTTCGCTAAGTGAAGCAATGAAAGCGATTAAATCATTTTCCTTACTTTTTGCGAGCGACTTTGATTGTTGGGATAACTATTTTCTCATCGTGCTTGATCGTTTTTCCATATTTCAAAGTGCAAAGGTATTTGAGATCAAAAAGCGATATATATGATGAGAAAAACGAAGCTAGTTGGCATGAGTTCTTTTCTATAGGCGTTCCGTTCGGAGTGCTGGATCAATTTATTCGCAAGATTTGAGCATGGGTTTGGCGTTAAATCAGCGTCGGTTTTTTCTATCAAAGAATGGCATTGGTTTAATACCATAACTGTTTGTTCCATCGCGTTTTTTAATATTGAAGTCTTCAGAAAAGCATTTTGGATACTTTCTTTGCTAATTTAAGCATGCATGTTATTTAGCTATATTCTGTCGAGGTCAACTTGTGTTGATTTGTTTCTACACTTCCCCTCTAATCACCCAAGAGTATGAAGAAAATATAGCTTAAGAATGTGAATCTCATCACCCGGAAATAGAATGTTTGCGGAGGAAAATCAAGAGTACCAGAATATCAGGATTCATTGGGGAACCAGTCTAGTTAGACGCACTTCCATGACTTCACCAGCTTCTTTTCCGTCGCCTCAAAGTTTCATTTCAAAATAGAATTACTGTAAAGCTGCGAATAGCCTCTCTTTTTATCTGTGGTGTGACTTGGTGAAGCTTTTTCCCCTTACTTTGAAAGGAATTTTATTGATAATGAAACAGGTTGAACTGAGAACAACTGGAAAAACTGGGGTTAACTCACGTTTCACATTCTCAGTTGCTTAAGAGGGCTGTTTATAGCCGTTTTCAAGGTCAAGAGATACAATCGAGCAGCAAAACAAATCAATTACAGCTCCAACCATCCGGGTTAATCACTTTATCACATGTTTTTCGCCCCAGACTTGGCCAGTTGAAAGACAAGGCACTTACAATAAAGAATTCTGACATGCGCAGCTGTGGTCGGATAAACATTGAAAGATTTTTTGGGGAAGTATTTTCGACCTCATATATTTTGACTGTCTCTACGTTTACACTTCTCTAGGGTTTGAAAATAGGTACTCAGTTGACTAATTTTTGTTTCAAATTTGGGCTGAACCTAGCCGACATGGTTTAAGCTTACATCACCCACTTCTGAGGCTTGTAACCGACATTTTCTTCTTGTTACTAAGTCCGTGTCTTAGAGACTAAAGTCAAACATTTAATTATGAGTTATTTTCCGTTACTTAGTACTTAGGGTAACTGGCTTTTAACTCAGTTAAGACCTTAAAAGCTTGTGATTGCTTCATCCTTTAAATTCATGTGACTGATATGATCCGGTCAGAACATTTACCACTGAATACCCTTCATTATCGCGAAGAGAAATCTGTTTCAACTGGAATACTTTGCTCTACTTTATCCGCGTTATTGTAATTATTGTTGACGTACACAAAACTAATTATTGTACAGCCTTGACAAGTTTCCGGATTTATAAACCTCCAAAACAAAAGCAGTAAAGAAAGATAAGGAATATTGATGTATTGGTAGGTTAATTTTTTAACAAAAAAACTTTGAAAAAAACTATAGCCGTTTATACTGTTTACAAACGACTATTCTTGTACAATTAAGCCGGTTACATGCTAAACTTGTAAAATTGTATCTCTAGACTATCAAGATAGGCAAGGAATTCGTTTAATTAAGATGGCGAAACATTTCTGCAGAAACATGTGTGATTCATTTGGTTCGTTATTATGTAGATATTGATTTCATGCCCCTTCGCCGACAAAACATTGGTCGGTTTAACCTGAAGGAACTAAACAAAGAGTGCTCTTGTGAACGAATACATGTGTGCAGCAATAAAACTTAACTTTGCGCCAAACAACACTTAAAAAGCAATTTACTGATAAAAATCGGCACAATAACCTTTGCAAAGAAAAGCGACTAAAAAGACGCTAAGCATAAAACAGAAGGCCTTAACCTCTTTTTTACTGAAAAGGGAATGCAAATTTATTAAAGCAAAGTATTTAAAACAAATTTCTTTTTTTTAGCTTGTTAATCACATTGAGGAGAATCATAATTGCTACCTTGAAGCTTAAAAAACTAAGACATAATTCCTTGAGGGAAACTAAGAAAAATACTGAAAATTAAAACATTGTTACGATGCTGTCTGTAGTTTCTATCATCCTGTTCTTACACACTTAAATAACCGTAAATTTTGAAAAAGAAACTGTCGAATTACAGTTTTTCTGTTAAAGTTAATTTTCGTATTTTGTATGCGTGGCTTTACAGAATTGCGTGCGATGTAACAAGATTTCGCGGAAACCTCTTATAAGGCAATTTACCGGTTCATAAATCCACGACCACAGTTAAATCTTGTTTATACCGAAACGACAGATTGGTAGTAAATTATTGTTGTCGTATTACCAGAAGAGACTCCGTTGCCGACAAGGCCAAATTGTGGGATGAACTTTAAATTCCGTGAAAATCTCCTTAAGGGGGCTTACACTTATCAGTTCTGACAAAAACATAAACTACTTCCGATCTGTTTTATAAAACACACGTCTCGTGCTCTTAGCCATGAGTGCATGACATCCCTAGAAAATAGGCTGAATTAAGGGTATTTAGCACTTTCTTATCCCAGCTTATTAATTTCAGTGTTACATTACGCGCTGCCACTCTTACATAGAGGTACCTTCTACCAGAAACATGACCATAAATAGCGCGCGCGCGGTTTTCTGACGAAAGCGGTCAGGCGAAAACTAGCCAACACTGATAATGTGTGGTCTAACCTGTAGTCTTCTTGCAAAAACCGTGATTCTAAGATGAAATGCATCTTTAGTTAATCTTATTTCAATCCCTGCTCATGAAAAGCCATTGTCAATTAAACCATAAGTCACTCCTTTACCATAGGTAAAAACCCGGTAAAGACGCTTTCATTTGAGGAATTAAAACACGAGGTAAATCGGTTAAGTTGTGTAAACATCTCGTAAGTTCTACTTTGTTTTTCCTACTTAACTTAGCCAACATTAACTTTCATGCCAGATTATTACCGAGCGTATTACAAATAATAATTAGGTTTCCTGTGAAATGTTTTTTCCAAATACCACAAATATCTTATATTACCAAGCTGATAAGAGCCTCTCTATGTAGCTCTTCGTTCGGTTTTGCAATGAAAAGCGCAGAAACCAACTTCAGATAGAATCGATCGAGTTCAAGCTTTATGAATGTCGAGCAGGATTTTCTGTTTATATGTTTCGTTTACTGTTGATCTGTTAACAGTTGTTTGTTTTAAGGTAGTATCTGCCTTCTCTCGTAGCCCAAGATTTTGTATAAGAACCACAAAATTTATCTGAAACCGCTAATTTCGGCCGTTTCCATCAACGACATCAAATACGTTTCTCAAGAAGGCATTGTGCGCCCTTGGTTTAAGATAAATTGTGATAGAGCTGTCTTGGTGTGGCACTGAGTGTATACATTTTATCAAGTTTCTTTAGAAGACCCTTTTTGCAGTGCTCTGAGAGGTCAGTCAACTACATCTCGCTCCAGGCGATTTCATTGTTTATCTAAATTACAGATGACGTTTGTCTCTTCTTTCCGTTGGTAGTCAGATGCGCTCCATAGTTTGCCGCTAATTTGCCTGAGAAATCGTAGCTTCATATGCTTACAACAGGAAAAGCAACTGTCGCCGAAATATTCAAGTTAACTCTGGCGTATAATACAACGACAGAAACCAATGTTTTTCAACGAGACATTAAGGTGTTTTTTCGAATTCCGACACAGAGGGTACAAGATGAACTAAATTTGTTATATAAACGTCGAGTCTTGATCAAGCTGCGTGGGTCAAGGCTGCTCCAAGGGCAGTGCAATTCATTAAGATTTCGCTTTGCTTCAAACATTGGAAACGACGGATCGAATCACTAATATAACGGAGAAGATCTGGACAACACCTTTACCGCCTTAACAAGGTTAGTTTTTAACTCAAATTTGAGTTGGGAAGACCTCTCTTCTCCTTGGTGTCGATCAAATATTATCACGTTCTCTACTGAGCGTTGCTGCCTCGAGTGTGTTGATTTTGTATCATCACAAAAACACACAAAATAGTAATACAGGTAAAACGGGAATTTATCATCTAAATTAAGCTTGTTAACTGTCATTCTTAACTTTTTTGTTGGTTATGCCCAAGAAGACATCACCTAAAAAGATATTTGTTACAGGATCTTTGTCATTATAAGGAAATTATATTAATTTCTCGGCTGTTATTTAGAGCTAAAAACAAAACTACATCTTATATTGGGGTCAAACGAGCTCCATATTTCAAATAGCGAAATTTAAAATTCGGTTAAGTCTCTGAAACTATTATTATTCTATGAGATGAACTACTTTTACGTTGTACTTTTATGTGCACGAAATTCTTCAGCTGCATGAAAATGCCATCTAATGCAATTCCTGGCAAAGACCGATTATTCAAAGCCACAGAATTGTTGCGCTTAAGTTAAGCAGTATGCTGATGGCATGTGCTGTTTAAATGTTTATATCGGTTGTTCTGATGAAGTTATAAGAGTACAAGTGCCTCGGGGTGATATTCGAATCCTGCATTCAGTGTCATTCCGCCATGCTCGGTTTGTTATTCTACGGTCTCACTTGTGCGTAATTCACCGAGAACCACTACACCAGGGTACGTTGCTACAAGGTTAAAATCTTCAACCTTTTGATTTTTGCTTTGTTTTAACATCTTAAATGTTCAAATATTCGTGGTTTGAGTCCTTCCGTTGTCACTCCACTTGCGGTTTTGGGGTGAAGTGCGTCGGCTTGAAAGACACATGGCCATCAAAACACAGGGTTCACAATTCATTTTCCTTTCTTTCAAGTATGCCCTTGACACACTAGCGTGCTGAGATTGTTATTAATTACCAGTCAACACAAAAACGGAAAAACTACTGATTTAATTTTTACAACAAAACAAACACATCTAAGTATATAATTATCTCTTTTCTTAGTATAGCTGTTGACTTTCAACGGCATGCACTCCACGCAACTTTGAACCTCATACTGAATTTTTGACCCAGTTTGAACACGTTCTGGAGTAGTGCTTGAAACGTAAGACTCATGAACGTGTGTTTTTAAGAAATAATAGGCTTAATTTGAGACAGACAATGTAAACTTGAAAAAGAAAAACCTGATGCTGTGTGTTCACATTATAAGATGAACTGTTTTTCGCTTTGTTTTCATGCCGTCAGAGTTAGTCCCGTTAGATTAACGATGTTGGAATACTGGGCTGTCGCTCTAATCTAAGGTCAGTGCTAATCCCACGGGCTGCATTTGTAAAAGAAAAGCCTTTTATAAGGCATTTAACTTTTTCTTACAAAGATGGAAGGTAAACAAGTTAGTCATGAAACTAGCATCCTAACGCGTTGATGATTTGCAACTGTTGTTTAGCATAAAGCTGAAGTAAAAAGGTTGGAAATCAAAAACTGAACCCGTCTACTTCCCTCACAGTATGCTTGCTGCGATTGGTTACACAGTAAATATCACGTAAACAAAAGGCTTTAAAATCAAGTTTTTAAAAGTATATCTTCTCTAGCTATAACTACGCATACACAGTTTTTAAATCTCTTAACGGCAGGGATCTATTCACCGGTTCTATTGACAAATGGTACCCCTTTCACATACCTAGTTTAGAACTTCGCTTCCCTTTTAACTGCTGTAAAAGCACTGTATTTAAATAAAGAATAAATCACAAAACCAGAACCTCCAGTTTTCTCGACTTTTACACAACCATAAAATGTATCTGTCAGCTCTTTTGGGCCTTCTTACGACCGAGATGACATATTTCTCTACCCTTCCATATACTTCAACTGGGTAGTGAAATTCCTACCCTTTCATATACCTAAAGCCTATAGGTATAGCTGTAGGAAGGTGACAATTTAATACTTGTAGAACAGGCCCCAAAGAAGAAAGTGTGTCTGCGCTTCTCGGACAAATAAACCAATACGTTGGCCTTCGTAGACTGTGGCCGTTGAGAGATGTTCAACTTTATAATGCTTTTTTAATTTTATGGTGCCCATTTCTTGGTCAGCCGTTTTCCTCTCATCGCGCAAAAACGGTTGCCTATTAGTGTTGTAAGTTAGCATATACAGACTTCAGAAGTAGCCTGCGTGCAATCGTCCTCTATTTCATTTGTTTCCGAGTATTGAGATGTCTCAGACGCAGGCTAGTCAGAGGAGGACATCACAGATAACATCACAACAGTGCTGTGCATCATGTTTTGATTGGTTGAAAATCTATCGACGAATAAACACCGATGGTTAATTTTCTAGCAAAAAGGACCTTTTTGCCTTGCGTCAGAGGTGATTTCGTATTGCCCTCTTGTTTTGTACAAAAAAAACCAAAAATTCTAATCGCTAACTTGCGACTATATGGACCATCTTGTTTCTCTCTCGAGTTCAGGAAATCAGAGGTCATAGGAAATTAATGTCATGAACTCTATCATGAACTAAGAGAGCAAACTAACGAACAATTATAGCCAATCTGATCACACTGTGGAGTCCGTTCCTCATTTTTGGAGCTTTGGTCTTCTGTTGGAGAAAGAGCGCCAGCAAAGTGGACTGAAAAACCTGAAATCAACTCGGTGATCAGCGGCTACACACACTCAAAGTTTTGGGAAAGGATGTTCCAAAACTACATCAGATCATGCTTGCGATTAGAGTACCTTATTAGCGATTCTCAGTTGTTCGCCTTTAAGCTAATTTAACACGAACAGAAAGCCCTTGTGTGCGGAAATTAGTTAATTGAATCTCCTTCCCATATTGCAATGCTTAATACGCAGGTAGGTAAAGAGAGAGTAAGACAACATTTTCGCCGATTTTCGCCTTGAATGATGTAGACGCAGAAACACGGCATCTGAGATACGTGTCCCTTTAGTGAGGTAATTTAAAGAACATGACGTTTTTCATTCATATTTTAAATGCGGACTGATTTTGTTATAATTTGACCACAATTATCAGCAGTGTAATAAACAGTAGAGCCTGTGTTTAATATATTTAACTTCACCGATTATTACACACGATTTTGCAACTGAGAGATAATTAAGCCCATGACAACCATTAGGGGATTGTGTCAATTCAATTTCTTTTTCAGTCCAGATATCTGAGTTACTAAGGTTATTTTGCTGTAATAAGTATTCTTAATTACTTCAGTGTTTGTTCGTGACTGTTCGTTGGTCATTTGAGTTAATTAGGAACATTCCTTACCGCTAGCTTTGATCCATATTTAACACTAGCATTTTTTTGGAGAAAAATTTAGCACCGACTTTATTTCTGATCGCTCTGGTGTTGTAAAACCTATTGGACGATACAACTTTCTTTAGATTGTGTACCTGTATTATCAGAAAATGCCTTGACAAGCAATTCAGTGTTCGAACGTTTTCCATTCTGATAAGTATCTTGCAATTCAGTCAGTCCGCGATTAACGCTTAACTGAACAGTAACCTAACTTAACAGGTTTTCTTAAATTATTAGCTCATTCATGGTTTCTGTTGGAGTATATGAAGTCTAAAATTCAGCGTCTGTTTTTTCCTCATGTTAGCCGATTATTTTAATGGGCGTATTATCATGAAAGCATTCTAACCTTCGTGCCAGTCTGTTTGGAAAATAATAGCAAATATGCCGCCTGCTGGGCTGTGGTTGAATCTGCAAAATAAAAGCAACTTAAACTCATTGTAGACTAAAAGTTCTAAAATAGGCGAAATAGAAATAGCTATTCCCTACTGTGATTATATTAAGATAGGGGGTCTTTAGGACAAGTGTTCTGTACCCAACTACAAACCGCAAGTGTAGATAACGGAAGTGCTTAATAGCCTCACTGTTAAATAGGCTATTTTTAAAAAAGTTCTAGAAGTTTGCCGAACGTTCTTTAAAGTGAAAATGAATAGGATTGATGTCAACAGAGAACGAACTAAGCCGTCGCCAAAGTGTCTGTTCAAAGTAAAGAACCGGCATTTCTTTAACGTAATGTGAAGTTTTATTGTATGGAAAACGATAAAATTTTCACCGGAGTATTCAAGGACTCTTAAAGAAAGCATAGTACTTATCAATCATACTGATTGCATGCCCTTTTTTGGTTATGCAGTGATCTTAAAAAAAATTATTTATAAAAGTTCTAGAAGTTTGCCGAACGTTCTTGAAAGTAAAAATAAATAGGATTGATGTCAATAGAGAACGAACTAAGCCGTCGCCAAAATGTCCGTTCAAAGTAAAGAACCAGCATTTCTTTAACGTAATCTGAAGTTTAGTCGTATGGAAAACGATAAAATGTTCGCCGTAGTATTCAAGGACTCTTAGGGAAAGCATAGTACAAAGTTATCAATCATACTGATAGCATGCCCCTTTTTGGTTATGCAGTGATTTAACAAAAAATTAATTATAAAAGTTCTAGAAGTTTGCCGAATGTTCTTTAAAGTAAAAATAAATAGGATTGATGTCAATCGGAGAACGAACTAAGCCGTCGCCAAAGTGTCCGTTCAAAGTAAAGAACCGGAATTTCTTTAACGTAATCTGAAGTTTAATTGTATGGAAAACGATAAAATGTTCGCCGGAGTATTCAATGACTCTTAAGGAAAGCATAGTACAAAGTTATCAATCATACTGATAGCATGCCCTTTTTTGGTTATGCAGTGATTTTAAATAGATTTCAAGTAACTCATCGGAACGTGCTTCAAAGGTGAAACCGTTGGAGTAGTTTAGTCAATAAAAAGGCTCTGAGCAGCAAAAATGTTTAAAATGTAATCTTATAGCCACGCTTATATGCTTCAAAATATGTACACAAACTCTATTTGAAACCCAAAAATGATAAAACTATCAGGAATCACGGCAGAGGCGGATCGGGAATTTTTTCAAAGAGGCGGTTGTGAGTATGAGAGTTGAAGGCACCCAGGGGCAAAGGAATGGGGGAGGGAGGAGCGTTATGGTTAGGGTTAGGGTTAGGGTTATGTTTGAATATGTACATTTTCTTAATTTTGATTTCAGAGGTATAAATTTGAGACACTATTATTAAGGACTAAGAGTACAGTGCAACAACGATAGTTGTTTGTCTCTTTTCACCAGCCTGTGTAATCAAACAGACTAGCTTGAAAGAGTCCTCTTGGATGAGCCTTTACAAAGGTTTGACATATCTCGTCTTCCTCGAATCTCTCGGAGTAGTACATGGCGATCACTGCGAGATCAGAGAATCGCTCTTCAGGCGTTGTTGACCTAGAGTGAGTCTTGATTCATTTCATCAGTGAAAACGATCGCTCAGCTTCTGCGATTGTGATCGGTAGGGTGCAGGCAACGACCAGAAGGCGATAGATGTTTGGGAAAGCATCTTCATCGCAAACACCAAGTGCTAATAAAAGGCTGTTTGGAAGCTCCCTGTCTGTTGACTGACAGAGTGTTTTCCATCTACGTACCTCCTTTGCATGGTATTTGGGAAATGGAATGTCTTTCTCCCAGAAGAGAATGCCTTCTATTTCATCATTTAGCTGCAGCTAGTGACTTATTTACTATAACCGATGGCACTAGACAAAGCAAATTGCGGGCGTGGTAATCTTCGTCAAAAATCTATCTTGCATTTGAATGATTAAGGAGTCAACAAAAAAGAATAGCTTAAGTCTTCTTGTAATGATCGACTGGACTGGAACTTATATTACAATTTATTATATTTATTTTGGTGTGAAAGAGGGATAGACATGGGTAGCCAGACAAGTTTGAAAACTTCCCAAAGGGGGGTGGGGAAGTTGCAGCCCCCTTAACCCTCCCCCTGGATCCGCCTCTGATCACGTGTTCTTAGTCAAAACTTAACTGCAGCGATAACATTACATTACAATTTCCTCAGTGGATCGTCTAGCAGTTATAGCCCTTATACCAATCCGGATAGGGCTTCTGTTGACACATAGCAACGGCGATTCTGGCGCGATTTCTGAAACGGAGCAAAGCTGCGCCGCGCTGACTTCGAAAGTAGAGCGTCACATATCGGCTAAAAAACGAAAAGAAGGAAGAACGATTTTATATGTCTGATAGGCTCCGGCTCCGGCTCTACGCATGGCTGAACGGCCCACCAAATCGCACGGGCGTATTACTTATTGCCTCTAAGCCAAACTGCCCCGAGCTTGGCTTAGGCCCCGTTTATATGGAGAAAACTTATCCTAAGCAGAAGGATCACTCGCCTACCCGAGCTACCCTTCACATACCGTTAACATGAGATACAAAAAGCTGGCTCGGCTAGAAGGGTGACCCACCCAGCAGGGTCGCCTTTTTTCAAAGGTAGGGTCACCCTTCCTTACAGGGCCAAATTTTTCTCCATATAAAAACTTTGGGTGGCCCAACCCGGGGCCAATTTCTCGAAAGACCCGGAAAATGTCGGTCCCGAAGGCAAACCTACTGAATATTAGCAGAATATAGCTAGAATACAAGCCAACGACCAGTCCAAATTTCTTCGGTTACTGATAGTTTCATTGTATCATTTTCAAAATTATTGAAACTTTGAAATTGAATGCAAACAAAACAAACACAAAACAGCTTTCCGGGCCCGAAAAGTTACCGGGACTTGGAGAAACAGGCCCCAGCACCAGGAATCCAGAATCCATGGAATGGGATCCAGAATCCAAGACTGTCTTGTATTCCCTTATATGAGGCGAAATGTTGTTGAATAGATTACCTGTTATTATATTTCAGGTCATCTTGTCATTATACAGTGGGGAAAGCGGACAAGGATATCTAAATTCTTGGATGCAGCATTGGTTGATTGTTGAACATGACTGCTACTAACGCAAGTTTGAATAACTCAAGTACTGGGGCCGCTGGAGGGTACCCAGAAAACACCTTATCCCACAAGGTCATATCATCGATAGCGATTCTGATTCTCATCATTCTAACACTCTTCGGCAATGGTCTTGTCGTAACAGCTTTCTACATGTTCAAACGGATTCGTAAAAGCGTCACAAACTGGTTCATTCTAAGCCTAGCAGTTAGTGATATAATGGTGGCATTCGTCACAGAACCCATCTGGCTGGCTGGCGAAATTACAACTTGGAACTACCCGCCAGAAGTGGACGTGCAAACATTCTCTTTGGCGTGGTCAATGATAGACATCTTGTGTGCGATTTCTTCTATCTCCAACTTGATGTTCATTTCCATCGATCGCTACTTCGCAATAAAACGTCCACTGATTCACCACACAAAAATGACCACGGGAACATGCAAATGGATCATCTTGGCTACCTGGATCCATGCTCTCGGAACATCTTGCCTTTACTTGATTACCCACAAGTCAAAGTACCTGGTCATTTTCTTATTTGCCTTCGTTGTTCCACTATTGGTCATTCTTTATTGCTACGGTGTGATTCTCTCTGTAGTCTTCAAAAGATCTCGCTTCACAAACCGTCATGGCAGGCGGCTTTCTAATGAGTTTAAAACAGCCAAGAGCCTGAGTGTTGTGACTGGTGCATTCATCTTGTGTTGGCTTCCTTTCTTTTTGGCGTCTCTAGCCTATCAATACTGCAAATCGTGTGCAACCGACATTGACAGCATACCGGCTATAAGATCAGCTGTGAAATGGCTGCACTACCTAAACAGCTGCTTAAATCCAATAATCTACGCTTTTCTGAATCCTACTTTTAAGCTGGCTTTTAAGGGTGTCATAAGACGAATGTGCGGGAAAGATTTTCAACACCTTTCCGAGATGGAGACGTCTTTCATGTCGTTTCGCAGTCGACAAAACACGTTCAACGACAAAAGCGGTAGTGGAAAGAAGAACTCAGATACTGCCATGCCGAACGGCAATCTCATGTCCCACAAAAAGCCTCTTTTAAATCACACGGACACCGTGAAAATGAATGGAATTGTCAGTCACGAGTCCATCAGTGATGACGGTAGCGTCGAAAGAGGCATTGAGACGCCAGAAGATAAACGCTCCATTACTGATCGAGTAACTCCTCCCCCGTCCTATGACGACTGGTACCAGCTAGAACACGCCTCTAACAACAATGAGTCCTTAAAGACTGATTACAGCGATAAATCATTGCCAAAAATGGATGGAAAAATGCCAGAACCAAGAGGCAAACAGATTGAACGAACAGTATCGTTTGACGAAGAAGTCAAAGTTTGCGGTGAAAACGCGTTAGAAAAGGACGATTTTGTTTTCCAACGTCATTTCTCCACCTACCACGACGAGGAGAAAAATAAAACTTATTTGCTCGTAGATGGAGTAACGGTTCCTGACGGTGAAATAAGGACAACGGATGTATGATGTACAATTTGATTTTGACGACGAGCAGAGGAAGATTGCAGAAAGTACCGCTATAATTGCGTCAGTGGTAACTTATCATTCCCCAGCTCAGCTGTGTATGATTAGAGAATCCGCTGACTTGAACCATCTTTCATTGGAACTGTATTTTGTCCTCATGGTGCGCGGATATCGCGGCAACTTTTTTAGGTTGAATTTCTTTAGACAAATCCGGGAAAAGATTGTGTCTAATATCTTGCCATGACTGAAAATTCAACAAATTACGATAGAGATTATAAATCCTCTTTTGGGTGCGCTAAAATAATAGAGCTCTTTTGAAAGTTTTTACGATACCTCATCTGTCTTGAGCAACATTAGAATACGTCTTATCCTAGTCCTTTGAAAGGGGCGTAAGGGTTTGCGGTGATGCGGTTTAGCTCGATTTTTGGTGCGGTTTTTGCGGGAATTGTTTTTTTAAGTTGCATTATTGCGGTTTTACAAAACCGAGCGGTTTGCGGCATTTTAATATAATTTTGGCGTAATTTCATTGCGGTTTGCGGTTTTCTTATGTTATTCTGTGCGGTGTTTATGCGTTATTCTGTGCGGTTTTGCGGTATTCGTACCCCCTTATGCCCCGCTCCTCCTTATAAGGAGATCTCAGGACCTGAACAGGCGCTTTTCAGAGAACCAATCATCTTTTGAGGACTTCATGTATTCAAATTGATAACCGCTTTATATAATTGAACCTATCTATTTTAGGACGGTAAGATTGGTTTTTCAGTTTTGTCCAATAAGTTTAATAAGAAAATTCACCAATACTGCAGTCGACCATAGCCAAGTCTTTCCAGGCCCTGTTATCTCTAATCATGGGTTAACCGTAAATAGTGCACCCATACCTGAATTTATACGAAAAACGCCCTTCGAGAACTATGACCAGGCGCGTTCGGCTAGATTTGGTTCGGAGCCTTCTTAAGATAGACTAGCCTGCGTGCAGACGATAACTAAACTCTGATGGAGTTAACCAGAGTTTAATTTCGTCTGCGCGCAGGCTAAAGATAGACGCGTCCTTTAACAACGACTAAACAACACAAACAGTTTTGTTTTCATAGGGTTTCATTCCTGATCAAATGATATAGCATATATAATTATCAGGAAGTGTTCCGACACACTAGGATAAACTAAAACTGCTTCGACCAATGACTCCGAGATGCAAGTGGCGAAATGTTCCGTTTTAGAACTTTGTTATTTATTTTTAAAGTAAAGTTCTGAATCAAATCAAGTTCATAATGGTATGGGGAAAAGTAGTTTTTGCCATCTTCGCGAACTTTGCAATCACCCGCCTGCAACAGGGCGGAACTAGAGCGCCTAGGAACTAACCAGTTTGCTGGACTGTTTCCTCTCCCTTAACAGCCACAGTCGCCAGTTTTCATGCAAATTTTAACTCCTTAGTAATCAGTAGAAACTCAATTCACGTGAAATAGTATGACAAACTTTTATGGACATAGTAATAGGCAATGATTGTTTGTCAGTCTGGTATTAATGGGTGATGCGGTAGTTCTGAAGCAGTCTCATGCCCAATCGCTATTTATTTGTTTTTTGAGTGAGAGAAGATTAGGGTTAGATTGAGCTTCAATGTCATCCATATTCTCGTACCCACGTATCTTGCATGTTGACGAAGCCTTCGGCTTAATCGATAAGAGATCTGGGGATCATTATGTCATCCAATCTTCTCTCCTCTCTAAACTCACCACATTTATAAATAGCGACAAGGTACGAGTCTAGTTACAAAAAGGTGTATTAAATTGTAAATAGATTAAGTAGGAAATAAATAAACGACATTAAAACGACGTCAATTTATTAATTAAGAAGCTATATTAAAAGGACGAAATATAAATGGTAATAATGAAATGTATTGGGGCTTAAAGCCTGTTTATTGGTAGTGTTTTAATTTATATGGTATTTTTTTAAGAGTTGAGCTTTGTACCAAGTCGACAAAACTGCACGACTATACGAAGGACTGTGAAAGTCTTGTGAAATCCTATGGTGTTACCGTCCAAATGAAACCTAGTTGTAGTACTTTCACATGGCGCTATTCATTCAATATTTACACTGTAAATCAGAGAGGTCGGTTTTAGCCCTTAAAATAGGGCCGTTTCGGTGAGTAAAATACGGGGCCCATACAGTCCAATTATCTAGTGCTGATTTGGTCCCAGGGCTGAAATGTGCCCTCCCGTGGGCTGGAATAGCCTTCCGATTGAGCTTTTTTGGCCTAAATTGAGCTCAAATGGCTCCAGGAAAGGCTGAATCAGACTTTGGCCTGTAGGGCTGAATTGACACTTTGGAGCTGAAACAGATCTTTTTAATTTTCATAGTAGTTCCCAGTTTCATGAGTCTGTATACTGTTTTTCGGGCTACAGAGCTGCAAGTCCCCTTGGAAGTGATTTGAAAATTTTGAAAACCGATTGATTTTGAAAACAGTTCGCGAGTGCTCATTGTTTTTGGATATCTACCCAAGAACCACCCGCCAGGAACTTTACAAAAAAAAAAGGCAGTGTTAGAGGCAATGAAACTGACCACGAAAAAAGAAATACATTTCAAGTTCTTTCCCTTTCAGATTAATTCTAGGAATGGTTTGTGCGTTGTTACGAAACTCGCTTCTCTTCATCTGGATATAAAGAAAACCTTCAAAACACTGTTTAGACTAAACACTAAACAAAGAAATGCCCATTACAAATACCCATTGAGATAACATATTTTATTTAGTAATGTACTGACATCTCGTCGATTAACTCACATGAATACTGGCTGAACCTAGGGCTAGCAGTCTATTCCTAGGTTGAACTTTTCAGAACCGTTTTTCCTGCGACTATAAAAACTAATTTACATGAACATTTTCAAAAATACAATTAGTCTCTGTGTATTTCTTCAGATATATTAATTTTTTCTAGCTCGATTCTCAGACGGCTCGTGAACATGAGACAAGGACTAACGGACTTTCCCCCCTCCGCACCTTATATTTCCGGGTTGTTTCCTTTGTCGGATAGAGAGGAAGTGGCAAATGCAAGGGGGTACTCTAAATGCCCCTTTTCCAAACTCCCTGTTTCTCCTTAGGGTTAGGAAAGGGAGATACAGCACTTACAAGCGACTTCCCCGTCCGCATCACATTTTCCCACATTTTAGTTCCCTTCAGTTTTCTTTGGCGGCCCTTGCCGTATTAACCGGCCTTGCTCGCGCTTTTGATCACTGCTGCTACCTTCTCTCGAGGTAGACTTCGTACCGGCCGAGAATAAGGCTAACTTACTTTCGCATATATAGAAAATTAAATCTGACGTGAAAATTCAGGTGTCAATTGCTACAAATAACCCTAGTCTCACAGACAGCCTTTCTTTTTTCCTCAAGCAACGCTAAGCCGGAACCTTGCGTGAAAGAGACAAAACAAATAGCCCCAGCCTTAATCCCAAGCTGATTATTAGCCCGGGTGAAGGTAATTCACTACCTTGATCACGCACGAATTGCACCCGTCTGTCCTCGTAGATCAGTCGGGAAAGCAACAACAGATCTACAGTCGACTCTCTCTTAACGGACACCTCTACAAGACGGACACATCTGTAAAACAGACACCTAGACTTGGTCCCTGCCTTTCTTTACTCCTTTTATTTCACTCTCTATAAGACGGACATCTCTCTAAGACGGACACTTAGTATCGGCCCCGGAGGTGTCCGACTTAGTGAGAGTTGACTGTAATCCGGAGGTCGTGGGCAGGTTTGATTCCCACCGGGGACAAAACTCCTTTCCCTCGCCTGGCCTGATTCTCTTACTGCCTTTACTGGGGGCTGAAGCTTAGTTGGGGTTAGCACTTGAATTTAACTGCCGACTTACTTTTTTACTTTAGTTTCCAGGATAGAGAGCTAGTATACAAATCATCAAGTCAACACAATCAAGATTACTTTTCACTTTAACTAGCCTATTCCAGGCGTTCAGAAAGTGGAAAACACTTCCTCCCTGTCTCTTTTGCTGTTTACCTCTGATTTTTTGGTCGGTCTCACACAAAAACAATATACTCCATTAAAATTATTAAAAATCCTCATATCTCAATCCCGATAAGTTAAGTTGCGTATCCCGTTATAAATAATCTGTATTTTTCCTGCACTACAACTCTACTGCATTTAGAAATGTGAGTCATTCGGCGAAGTCCCATCACGTAGTTAGCCCACATTAACAAAATATCATTCCGTCTACAGAAGTTACAGGAAAAACTTATTTACATCGATACCCTAGTTACCACCACCTTACCCGCCCCTAAAAAATATCTTTAACTAGTCTTCAATGCGACAAGTACTCATCCATAATGCTCATCCATAATGCCACGAAAACAAAGGTGACGGCAACAAAAAAGCATGAGGCGGCCATTACAACCGTTTTTGAGCGACGGACGTCAACCGGAAGGAGGCTTAACATGCCTTGATGATAAAAAAAACTGACAAGGGTGAAAACGGAAACCACCGTCAAAAAAAAACGGCGGTTGACGTGCGTCGCTCAAAACGGGTTAATAAACAAAGCATCAACTCTGCACGTGCATCATCGATTTTTGTTGCATATCTTTGACGTCACTTCTCGACTATAGCTAGGACGTTCAATTTCTAATTAATTTCGCCTTTCATGGTCGACGTAAACGCAATACAACGATTTCCTGAACTTGGATACGGTCCCCAGGATTTTAAATGGAAGAAAGTCCCCTGGCAGTTGAAAAACTGAACTAGTTTGGAAAATGGCGATGAAGTTTTAAACAGGGCAAGTTCACCTTTTAGGCGAAGTTTTCGCTGCCATCGCTTTCCATAGGACGCTAAAGCTCCCTACTCGCTATATAGCTATAAGACGCTCGCTTACGGTCGTTTGGAGAAAATTGGTCGATACATGTACACTATACTTACTTAAATAAAAACTTGCTCTATGATGGACAGATATACTTATTTTCATTCACAGATAGGAATTTTGAGTTTATGAATCTCGGTTTAACATTAATTTCATGACAATGAATAAAAAACAGATGCTAAAACATACGAACGAATTCCATCAGCACTTAATTTCGACACCGTCTGTTTTTGTGACGAAATGATTATTGTTAGCCCCCGTTTCATTCTCAAAGTACAGGTGAGACAAACAGCTTGGTATCTAGCGCCTGCTTCATTTCAGCGCGGGTCAGTTTTCCGTAGCTGTTGTATGGTTAGTCAACTTTCAGAGTGCTGGCATAGTCTTCTTGCCTCCGTTGTCTGAACTCAGGTTTTACCGAGGTTCGCTTCAGTTGTCCATCCCTGATAAACACGAAGAAAAAACTCTTTCACCTGCGCTAAACAACTACACAAAATCGGTAGCTAATCCCTTCTCAACTTAAAACTATTTTAAAAATAAACTTAGGTGTCGCGGTCCCCACGGAAAGGAAATACGCTGGGGACGAGGCTGTCCCAACATGGTACAAAAATGAGTAAGACAAATGAGTTTTGTTCGAAAAACCATCTTCGATAACGCTCAAAGAGGAAGACTGTCACTCTCATCAAGATAGGCCCTTTTTCTCAGACAGCTTAAGGTAGACGTTTGGTTTTGAATGGAAGACTAAAAAGTAATGTTACTCAGCCACACATTTTCCGCTTGATGTGGTGCCTGTCCACCTCAAGCCTTCTAGGAACTTTCGGTCGCACTTAAATAAAAGTGAGACACAATTGCACCAGGAAGCCAGGCGCAATCTATATGTGGAACATTTTACACGTGTTAATTGTCTGCTGAAAAATCTTTTGGGACTCGCCAAAGAACAAAAATTTGTCGAGGTGATCCACAACTGCATGAGTAGCTTTGGCCTAACTCCAAAAAACTGTTAGCTGGAAAGACGGGACCTCGTTTTTGAAAAAATCTAAGCTAGCTATCATTAATACTCCTAGCTTACCAGATTAGGTCAACAAGCCCTCCTTGCCGAGCGATCTCTGTCTTGACACGATTTGCAAACTGGACGGCGGTTTCATCCTCCTACCGACAAAAGTTCATTACAAAGCATGTCAGGACTCTTAAAAAGCCATACGCCGGGTGGTAGTGGTGGGTTTAGAGTGATCCAAAGGAACTGACACACGTGCTAACAAAATCCAGTCAACAACTGAATGGGGTGCTTCTTAGTCCTGTTGCAGAGACTATTGTGAAGTCAGCTTTTGTGCTTTGATTAGCCTGGGAACAGGCTCTCTTTTAGAGTAAAAAGCGAATAGAAAGTTAGAAAGCGCGAGCTGACAGGGAGGAGTAAGGGAAGGAGGAGAACAATTAAACCAATCACACGTGACTCCGGTACCATGAATCGGCGGCAATCAAAAAAAGTCTACAGGCTCCCTCGTCCCTCATCCCCCGGGAACATGTTTAAGGGCCACGTTTTGGTGTGATTACTGTTCAGTGCCTTTCCAAATACAACACCAGTCGTAGTCTAACGACCGCGTAGTAGAAAACTGCTTTGGGGATCACTAGTCCTGTAGCGACTTCAAAACTCGAATCTGCAGAGCAGGAAGAGAAGGGCTCTGCCACTAACGGTTACCACATGACAGCAAAAAGATGTGCCATGTTACTTTAAAACCTACCAAACGAGTCATTCGTGGGAGATACCACACATCGCAAACGAGCGCCCAGTTGGTCAATAGAAGAAACAGGTACAATGCAAATCCTTCAGTGCTGGAGTTCCAAAATGCATTTCCAAACGTAGGATCATACTGTATAGGGAATCAAAATAAACAACGTTAATAAATGTCCGGAATCTTTTTTGATCAGCTCACAACGAAAGAAAGGCAATGACTGGCTTTTAACACACTTGCCTTGATCGCTACAGGGTAAATGTCTCCGCTGATTTCAAAGCTGCCTTTCTTGAACATCATCACTGAGGTGTTGTTGATACACGTTCCTAGGGTAAAATTTACGCTAGAAAATGAAAATACCGCCTCACTAATACTACATAACTACTTATTTTTTAATTTATATAGCGATTTATACAAAGACTCCAAAGCGTTTAACAAGGAACCTAACGCAAGCGCAAGTTCGGCTCTAAATAAGACTTATAATATACTATATATTAACCACAATATTGGCCAATCTTACATTTTACATTTTACATTTTTTGTCTCATTAGCATATGCCTTTCATTCTTTGATCATCAGCGAAAATATGAGCCCGTTTTTTCGTGATATTTTGATGGTTTATATTTATTTATTTTGTTTTGTTTTGTTCTGTATGTTTACTTTTGAACCAAGTTTATGATATTTATATGTACCAATGTATTTGTTGTGCCTCGTTCATGACTTTCACATTTTTAACTGTCATAATTACCGTCACCCAACTAGTTTAGATTTAGTTATTTTGGGTGTCCACTACTGTATGTACTGTTTATTTATTTATGTATAATTATATTCTTGTAAATTCTTTTCGTTGTCTACAGTATAGTAGAAATAAACTGTTGTTGTTGTCGTTTTACCGAATAGTTTCTACAAACAGCGTATGAGCTCATGAACGTTTTTGCCACCCGGCAATTTCGCACTTTTTGATGGCCGCTATTTCCTTCGTTATTGCTTGCAAAACGGTGAAATTTCTCAAATTGCTCAAATTAACCAACTCTTTCAACTTTTGAATTTAATTTGTGCATACGGTGACGCCTTCTACTGGTTAACTCGCATGCAAATGAGCAAAAAGTGTAGACAATGACGTCAGTTAAAGATTCGCCTATACAAACCACATAACTATACACTACTGATACAATGATGTATAATCTAAATTGAATTTAACTGTATTTTAGTGCATCAAACAGCAGCAGTGAAAAGTCACTCACCTTCTGGAAAAATCAATATCGGGTTTTTACTGGCATCTTCCACATGTTCTCTTAACCTAGAGGGTAACCAGGAAGGTAAAATCAACTTAATATCCAAATACTAGCACAACACGAGTAAGCCATAACTTGCCCACTTGAACAACTTGTAAAAAAGCCAGTTTCTCCACTCGTATCATGTCGACAGTAATGGACATGACTGAGAGTAAAGTCTCGCCTAGCTCAAATAGGTGCATTTAAAATCCGAAGCTGTCATACAATGTAATGGACGCTTTGTTCAGGCCAGATGCTTGTATCTTATTTTGGTTTATATAGCCTGTTCCAGACTCCAAGGTCTAAGACCATTAGATTTGATAACGAAAACGACTACGAGTACGAGATTTGACTGAAAGGTTTTCCGCGCACAGTCGACTCACAACAACTCGAACCTTCTAGGGAAATCGAAAAAAGTTCGAGTCACCGGGAATTTGAAGTAAATAACCAGAAATAAGAAAATAAGCAAATGGATGGGCAGGGAATGCAATTAAGCAACAAAGTATACAAGAAAGGACACTGAATTTTAACTGGAGTGACAAAAAAGTAAAGACACAGAATTGATCCGGCTCAGAATGATAAAACTTTTAACGTTTGAGAACTCGTTTCCGCCAATACGACACTCTCGCTTAAACTCGTAGTATTATGACGACGCTGGCTATCACGCTTTCCCGCCAAAATGACGCTGGTTCACGCGCGAGCAATACTTAGTATTGAGAAAATTTCGTACTCGTAGTCGTCCTCGTCTCGTGCAGACTTCGTGAAAACTGATGCGAAAAACGCTCGGGGGTTGGGGAGAGAGTAACCGGCTCTCTCTTTAACTTCTCTACCCACCACTACCCTATTCCCCAGTTCACGCGCGTCTTATTTCCGCTTGACTTCTTTTCCCAATTTTTACCTTTTTGTAACAATCAATCTGTCCTTCATCTCGGTTCTCTCAAACCAAATATGATCCTGGGTCTTAGCAAGGGTCTTCTCAAAGAATCCAAACAACCCAGGCTGACGCTGACCAACCTAATAACAGGTGCAAAAAAAACATACACGACTTCAGGAAAAAAAAGACAAAGGAAAAGACTCATAGGATAATACAGAATGTGCAACGACTATTCAGTTGTCTTGCTGGCTTTACTTTCCATGAGATAAAAAATAATGACTTACCAGAGAGTAGCAGCGATCACACATCAATATCAACACATCTAAAGGAGTGGTGTGATTTGCTACGCATATTCCTCCACCCTTTGCCATATTTTCCCTGTAAAATAAATAAGGAAATTCACTATAATTTCTTTTGGACAAGTACATTTTACCAAGACCAATCTGTGACATTAAAAGAGACCGGACCCAGAATCAAACAAGAAACACGACAGTACTATCAGCAAGACCAAAGAACAAATGGACTACATGTCAACGGTAACCGGTCATCTCGCCACCAAAAAAGTCGCCACCAAGAAGTCGACTCGCCGCCAACCAACTCGCCACCAAGTAATTAGACTTCTTGGTGGCGACTGGTTGGGGGCAAGTCGACTTCTTGGTGGCGAGATGACCGTAAACCACGTCAACAAAGGCAGAGCAAAAAAACCAACAATGACATCCAAGACAAATTTAACCGGGGTCACAATTAATCATTGGTTAATTTAAGCAGATCATTTCTTTTCACTTTAATTTTCTCTCGTAAATAAATTAATGTCAGCCCTGACAAAAAAGGAATAATTTATAAACCTTTAACAACAGTTCAAGAAACAAGTGAAAAAAAATGTGACTTACTTGTTGTGAAATGTGATAACTGCAGACACAGCTCTTGCAAATATTCTAAATGAGATCAGCATGAGTTTGGTATCTAGCCAGTTCCTGAAGCTGCAAAGATGAAAAATAAAACAGAACTTAAAAAGAATAAAAGGGCAATTGTACAACATGGTGAAAGAAATGTAAATGGTGAATGAAAAACATCGTCCAAGCCTGCATGGCAGGCGTTAAAAGGAGCCAAAAGGGAAAGGGGTAGGAACACCCAACGACTGTTTTCTGTTAAATATCTGTTCAGAGAAGCAAATATGGCCTAGAATTTTCTATTACTTGAAGAAAGCTAAAAATTTCTAGATGACCGTTCCATTCATGTACAATTTTCGGAGCTTATCCTATAAATTACCTACGATTTTCTGCAGTTAAATTTTTCACATTTCATTCCCCTAGGTTGGGCTATTTGTCGTAGAAAAAAAGGAAACCTAAAACTTTCGGATTCAAAAATGTGATGGAGAGAAGAATCAGAAAAATTCTCATTTTCGTAGTACGTTAAATTGCAGCTTAAATTCTCGGGAAAACAATACTGAAGCCCTTGTAATTTCGAAAAGACTCTAGTTCTCCTGGGATGACCGAACAGATACAAATCTTACAGTGCAGCTTAGAATATATGTATAGAGATCTAAAAGTACTCTGGATAGCCTAAAAAGTGTTTTCGATGTATTTAAGAGGAAACCGTTGTTGGGTGCCCCTGAAGGGGATGGGGAAATTCAGGCGTGGCAGACGTTTAAAAGGAAAAGGCAAGGGCAAGGGCAAGGGCAAGCACAAGAGGCATGCAAAGAAGGATAACAATCATCCAAACAAGTGAAGCAATTATTTGCAACAGCAAAATATAAATTAATGTTAACTAACCTGGATTTGGGGAGTTGTGCAATAAAAATTCTAGATGTGATCAATATTGTCATTCCAATAAGGAAAACAGTAAGCCTGATGAGTCAAAGGGATATTATGATTATCAGTAGGGCCTCACGAACAGGTGAAATACAATATTAGACAAAAGCCCACAATTCTCCTTGTCCAAAAGTAAGAAACCAAACATCATTATTCCAGTGGACAAGGTTTAAAATGACAAATGGGAAAGAGTGTAAGTCCCCTCTTTTCTGTGTAATTGTCAAGGTTGGTTGCTGAAATGGCTATAGATATTGACTTCATGGGGTGAGTGAATACTGGAAAGGGTGCAAACTGTCAATAGGGGTCACAATATCCATAAAGGCCGTACTCCACTTAGAGTAGATCCATTAACCCTTTCCCTGCCAAATGTAGCCAAAGGCAAAATATCATTTTGTAAAATTTTGAAAAACAAATAGTACCATGTGAAAGTGCAGGCAGAGAGCTTTCATTTGAATGGTCACATTATAGGATTTCGTCCACAGACTCAAAAGTTAAAGTCACCTTACAAAATTCCATCAAACACTCTGGCAGTGAAAGGGTTAAACGCTTACTGATCTCACTTGCATCTTATCTCATACTGTGTATGTTGGCCAATGCACAAAAATGTACATGTATAACAACTGCATCTGAACTCACCTCATGGGGAATAAAATGACGTATCTAATAAAACAGCCAACTATCCACATTATTGTCAATTTAACACTGTAAAAAAAGATAGTAAATAAATTAGTATTTTTATGCACATCAATATCTTTTGAAAATGTAGCCTCTTCAAAGTGGAATCCTTCAAACTATAAAATAATACAAGGCAGTTGACAGAAATCAGTAGCATCTTGAAGAGTTTTAAAATACATTATGTTACTATGGCTGACTGTGTGTATTTTAATAGATGCAAAGGGATCACCTTCACTGTACTTGTGTAATCAACTACAACATCTTAATGGAAAGAAGATCATTATAATTATGAATGCAACTTTTGCAGTTGCTAAAAGGAGTGATGTCCTCATCAACTATAAGAGTGCTCAATAGTTGATCTAGAGCAGAAAACAAGTAGACTGGTGGAACTGGATTAGATCTTGAACATTTTATAATCCAGTTCCATTAGTCTACTTGTATTATTTAATAACAATATTATGATCAAAACATCCACACTTTTGCTTCTTGTAAATAAACACTTTAGCATTCACAACACCTGTTTCTCACATGCCCATAGTAAAAGTTGTTTTCCAATTCAGACCCACTCTTAGGCTTAATTCTCACCTTATATAATGATAATTCTCATTTGTTCTGGTCAGAAAATTCCAAGATACCAACTCTGCAAATGGATGTGTAAGATTTAGACTCTAAAGACCCTCTCTTTTGCATTACCCCCCCCAAATATCAACGAACACCCACCTGACCCCGACCCCGACCCCGACCCTGACCTCCTGATAAGTACAATTTGATCCAGTCCCTGATTTATCACATTGGAATGGCTTAGGACATAATTATGAAGTCTTACATGAGGTACAGACCATCACAATTCGCTTTTTTGATAGTAATGGCGAAATAATATTTCTCATTGATGAAATACATGCAAAAATGCCCAAGAAACCAAAAGGAAAATTGGATAAATTCCAAATTAAAGCACCAAAAACCTCATAACTCGTGTCATATCCAGGAGACTACTGGATAATCCAGGAGAGTTGGCATGTATGCATCATTGGTGATGATTTCTTAAATATATTTTTTCAAATATTTTTTTTTTTGTGTGACATATTTGTTTTATTTAACTACCCTTGGATTTCTAAAGATGGAGAATAAACAGATCATGACTGAAGTACAGTCACATTTAACCCCTCTTGTGCTGCATGGACCAGTGGTTACTTTTACTCAAAGAACAATACAGCTCATACACGCTTTCCTTACAATCACTCTTGAAAAACACCAGCTCTCGTGGCAACCAATATATTTTAATGAATTCCCAAAGTGGGAACTCACTGATCTTATCTGCAGTTTTGTAGCCCCATCATCATCCATCACACGTGCAAACTCTACTTGATTTATCATACTCCATTTCAAGTTCCTTGTCTCATTGCTAAATGTTATACTCAAAATTTCGCCGTTACAACGATCTGAACTTTTACCGTCAGTCAAAAAGTAGTGACCAATACATGTTACATTCATCTGGGCAAATAACACTTTTGAAAACAGTACATATTTAGCGGGTGGAGGGTGAGGGGTAGCGGGTGGCGGGTGGCGGGTGGCGGGTTAACTTATATATGAAAATAAAATATTATAACAAAATTTTTATTTTTCGGTATTTTTGAGTAGTATTTAAAAAGATCCCTCCATGCTGTGTCCAAAACGTTCTTGCTCCTTCTCTGGTACGCATTAACATTGACACGAGTGCTCTGTGTCTTGCTTGACATAGTTCGTTTTCATTTGACACACCGCATGTAGCCTGACGAAACGTCACTTGCGGTGCGGAGCAAGGAGAGGTGACTGTTTTCACAGGCATAATTTCTTTTTAGTCCGCGTAAGTAGATAAAACAAAACAAGACAATACTTTTATTTGGAGTCTGGTAGCTAGTACATAAACGTTGAAATTATTTTTAAATTACAACATACAGTTATATCATTATCAATAATAATATTTTATTATAATATTTTATTTTCATATATATTTTAAACCCGCCACCCGTCACCCGTCACCCGCTACCCGCTACCCGCTACCCGTCACCCGCCACCCGTCACCCGCCACCCGCCACCCGCCACCCGCGGAAAAGTCCTGCCGTGAAATTTAGATAAGCCCCCAAGTCGCGTGAAGGGTCACATATTTATTTTTATTTTTCTCCTATGATACTAACATTGTGATCACCTCTGTAAATAAAAAAGAGAGCACAACAAAACAGAAATCTACATGTAGGACTGCACTAGAAAATCTAACAGCCAATAAAAATATAAAATGTTATTGACCTTCTGCAGAAAAACACTTGGTTACTTCATCATCTATGATTGCCTAGAAAGAAAAGAATAATTCTTTTTTTTTTTTACCACACAGTAAAATCAAAGAATAACAAAGCAAAGTTGAAAACATGAGAAACATGATTGATTGATACCGCAAATGTATGATGCAATCATCTTTGGATTACATGATTGCATCCTTATTAATTTTGCTAGGATAAGCATTAAAAAAATGCTGGACGTGGGACTGGAAAATTTTATAGTTGTAAGTCTGGCATCAAAATTAAGAAATTACTGAAATTTTACAAGGAAAATGGTTAAAGGAAATAGAATTCAATGCTTTAATCTGGTGTTATGGTGATATAGAAAGCAGGAAAAGCTTTGATAGTAGAATTTTAGCCATGGCAAAATACCTCATCCGCTGAGGCAAAAAAATTACTCACAAATTGAAAATATTCTTGGAAAATGAGGCACAAGTTAAGTATTTGACTTTTGTTGCAAACCTTGCCCCACACTGGGATAGATGAAGATAAATAGAATTTTGAGTTTAGTGCATAGTAAATCATTTTGATCATTGAAGTAAATGGAAAAGTATTCAACCAGAGAGTCTAATTCAGGGAAATCTATTCAGCTATTGGTAACCTACTTTAATTATACAACATTTGAACGTCAGTTATGGGTAAATACCACTTCATGCAAGACCTTCCTATACGTACATATACATATGTGTCTGGCTGGGTTTTTGAAAACATTACCACCAAACGGACCTTTTGTGTCCAGCAGTTTCAAAGTAGCCATTATAAAAACTAAGAGACTCAGTACAACCACTGCTTTTTTTCTCTTCTCCTCCTTTCTTCCTCCTTACTCTTTCTTTTTCTCCGTTCCTTTTCCTTTGCTAGTGCAATTTTGAAGCTTATCGGGCCCAAAAAACCTGCCTTTTGACACCTTTTTACTCAAATAACAGCAAATTTCATTAGGTTGGTTTTTAAAAAAATGGCTCGATATGTATATGTACATATGTACATAAGATGAAGTGTGCATGGCTTCAACCTAATTTCCAATACAATTATGGTTTTCCCTCTAAATTGTTCATCTAAACCCTTGGAGTGATCATCGTCAAGTCTCTCTTGATAATTTCAATGCTTTTTAAAACAGATTGGTCAAACACTCACCATCAAATAACATTATTTTCTTACCTCAACTCCATTGACACAGAACTCAACAGCATCACCCATATGGAATTCTCGCTGAAACGTTCCAAATGATCTATTCCTGGGAAGGTTACCTTTGGTTGGTTTTGCTGGTGTTTTATCAATGACTACAACATAACAAAAAAAATTAACATAGAACATTTGCAGTTTCTTTTTAACACTTTTTAAATTACAGCAGTACCCCAGGGCAGTGAAACCTTGATTACAGTGTCTGAACTCCTAAGGAGTAGGGTAAAAGTCTATAAAGCAAGAGTTATCAAAAATATAAAAGACAAGAAAAAAGAAAATAACCCTTTCTAGCAGTTTAACATTGATGTACATGCAACAAAACAAAATGATAATGAAAGGCAGCAGACCCACCATACATTGGGAGCAATGTATGGGTCTTCATAGCTCAGTCGGTACAGCACAGTCTGCAGCACTAACACAGAGGCCATGGGTTCGAATCCCATTGAAGTCCCAACATTTTTTTTTAGAATTAATTTGCAATTATGTAAAATTAATTGTAACTACCACTGCGACGATCATATCTTCATTTGAATTTGCATTTCTGCAGTTCACATCATCTTCAAGATTAAAGACAACTCACCAATAAAAAGACATATCACACCTCTCAAACATATTTTATCATTAAGTCTAGCCTGAAATTCATCCGATTGCTTCGAGTCGTTTTCTCCTCTCAACAACGTCTGAATCGACCGGCCGTTAATGCCGTCCAGTGACATCACTCACTACCCGAAAACCGGGTAGTGATTTTGATTGGTTGATTGTCTAAACATTCGCATAATTATGTATAATTATGAAAAAATTTAGCAAGATTGTCACTTGATGATTCAGCGCATCGCATCCCTGGCATTCTTTCGTTTAGTTCAAACATTTCCATAAGCTTAATCTTAATCTTAAACAGCAAATATCTCTTGTTTTCGAAACTGAAATGCTTAATTGAGCTGCGAATGAAGAATCATTGCGGAGAGTCGGTAGGTTTTTCATTTAGAGCTGCTTTGTGGTTTCGGCGGCCAGTGATTTTGTTTACGTGAAGTTTTCTGAGATCAATGTTATAATTCGACCTTCTTGCTGTTTTTACCGTCAAGTGTAATGATTCTGTTAGCTTTTCTTTCTTGTCTCCTTCTTTTTTTTCTTCGTTAAGGACCAAATAGCTTCTTTTCAATTAAAGCAAATCATTGTGTTTTTGAACTAAGTGTTCCGTTTGTGTGTTTATTTCATTACGTGATTGCGACAGAGTTTGTTTATCAAGAATTTAGTACAACCGGTTCAGAGTTGTACTGCATGCAGTTGATAGTTTGAACGTTAAACATGAATTACAATCGAAAAAAATGAAGCAGTTCTGTATCATGCAGATATTTCCAAACGATATTTCTCGGTTTGCCACTTGAAAATCTTGTTTTACTTTTTGCATGAATTAAAGAAAAGGTCGAGGAGTAGTGACGTCACTGGACGGCATTAACGGCCGGTCGATTCAGACGTTACTGAGGGAGTAATAACGACTCGAAGTAATCGGATGAAATTCAGGCTACATTAAGTCATCATTTGTCATCTTATACACAATCAATCTCACAAAATATCATACAAAATTAATACGTTGAAACATTAGCATTAGTAAGTAGTTATACATGCAGTAGTAAGTGGAGGGAAGTTTATTTATTTAAACACATTACCTAATAATTATTAAGAGCTAATAGCATAACTCATAAAACTGTACATGTCATCCATACAATCTTATGCGCGTGGTAAAACGCATCATCATACAATAGTGCGCCAAACAACAAAAAGCCAAACTTAAATGAAACCTGACAGCTTAAATCAGCATTAATCTCCAAGGACAATAATAACAGCATGTTATGTCAGGAAATGAAATTTGCTGCTTGTTTCAGCAGGTGTTCATTGGGGAGGAGTGCGTGCCGAGAAAAAGAACATAATTATATTTGTACAAAGACTTTCCCACTGTTAGTACATAAAAAACCAAAGGTTAAACACTGTGCAAGCAAGCCATGTTTGGTTTAGGTTTGAATAGCATAGCGCGCGAATGATGTCAGAGTGACTAATTTGCAATTTTTGTCTGAGTTTTGGGTCTATAAATAGTAACTGCACGCAGCGCTATTCACACTTGTTAAGAAGAGGGTGCAATGTTCTTCATCCAATTATAAAGTGAAAAAATACAAAAAGAGGATGGTCAATTGCTGGCCCCTTACATTAGTTATTTAGCCATATTGTGTAAAGGGTTATATGGGGTTCTTCATCCAACAACAAGTGAAAAAAAAAATTGATTATACTATAATTACTGTAATTATTATTCGTTCAAAATTTTCTCCTTTTGGCTCAAATCTCACTGCTAATTCATTAAAACCAGTTAGCATTGACCAAAATTAATTTGGATAATGTTTGTGATATGTGGAAAATGACATCAATAGTACAGCCTAAATGCCAGAAAAATGGACTTCAACCGAGTGACCCTGGGAACAAGGCTACATTGTTTTGGTAGAGCAGTACAAAATGGAGGAACATTGCACACATTTCATGCAAAAAGAAATAGCTAAACTACTACAAGTGTACCTAAAAAACATCGCAAGAACAGCAAGAATACAACTCGACAGATGGCATCTGCTATTTGAGATTATCTGCAGAACCAAACATCACTTAATCTCCTGAACTTGCCAAGAAACAGGCAAATAACGATGGCAAAACATGTATCGAGGTTAGCATGTTTTAGCTGTTTCTTATCTAGGATTTAATAAAAATAATGACACAATTATTGGATTCATCCTTCTTATAATCTGAAGAATTATGGAGATCTCAGAGGGTATTATCACCATCCTCGACCTCCAAAATTCCTCACTAGATCATAGCCTCATCCAATAACTACTTTTCCTGATAGCAGAGGCCTCTTTTCTGTCGCGGCAGAGAAAAGAAAAAGAAAATAGAAGAGAAATGAGTCTCTTTTTCTCCTGCCTGCTGAATACTATGGAAAAGAGGTCTCTCTTAGCAGGGAAATAATTATTGCTAATTATTTACATTTATCTAAGTACAAATTATTTGTAAGTGGTTGAAATTAGGTTAATTACCATTTGATTTCATTCCTTGCTTTGACTGGATAGTTTTCCTTCCAAACTAAGAGGAAAAAAGACAGTAAACCAGTATACAGCTGTAAACAAGTAACAATATGGCAAGTACAGTCGAACCTGTATTAAGCGGTCACCCTTAGGAATGGCTAAGTGACCCCTTAATACAGGGTGACCACCTAATACAGGTTGCAAGATATACGTTTCAAAGAATTAGATCTCCAGTGCTGATCAGAACAGACGCTTGACCTTAAACAGAAACAGTCATTTCTGGTGTTTTAATGATTTGTGAAAATAAACAAGGAAATCAATTATTGATGTACCACATGCGTTACATTATTTGAAACTGTATGAACACTGTGTGACCGTTTAATACAGGTTAAGACAATAGAAAAAGTCTCGTTGCGACTTCGCAAATGGTGACCGCGACCGCTTAATGGAGGTGACCGCTTACTAGAGGTCGAAATTACAGTACATCAAGAGAAGTAATTTTCGGGACTTTGAAAACTGACCGCTTAACACGGTGCCGCTTAATACAGGTTCGACTGCACTGTTTTGTATCTAATACAAAGAATACTGCCGGTATGTGGACAGCATTCAATTCACAAGAGACAAAAGGAGCGCCGCATCCATCTCTTCTAAATAACAAATTGAAATAAATACTTTACATTTAATGAACAGAAACTTGGACATTTACTTTTTAAAACTGGGTCGAGATTTCGGCGATCAAATAATTTAGTGATGAACGAAACACGTCTTGATACAAAGACTACATGGACAGGATGGCCAGAGCAAAGATCATCTGCGAGTTCATGAAGCTCACGTTCACATTTCAATTTAACAATTTTCTGAAGCTTACCTCAAAAACTTTATATAGAGTGGCTAAGTAAAGGCTACGAATTCCAAAGGAAAGCCCCAATGACGCGGGAATAACCATAAAAATCACGATAAATGACAGATAACAAACCAAAAATATTAACCACAAGGGAAGGACCGCCATTTTGACTTCGTACTTGTTTAGAATAACCGCTGACCACCTTTTTTCTCACTTTTACTACCCACAATTCCACTCAGTGCATATCGCAACCTTGTTCCCAGGTTCTCTCTGTTACGAGCTCTCACGAGGGGTCGCAGGCTAAGGAATAAGCATCTCCTTTAAGCAAAAAACTACAGCAAAGCGGGCGGCATAACTAACATTGTGATTTGATAACCTAAAAGTACAAATAATTCACTTACAATTCATAGCAAAAAAGCTAACATTATCAGAATAAATCTATAACGGAACTTAATTGAAATAATAAATTACAACTGCAAAACTGCACACTGAACAGAGATATGTGAAAAAAATTAAACGAGAATTAAGAAAAAGAAACAGGCTGTCGAGAAAATATCTGAACGATTTCATAAAAAAACCAGGAGCACATCAAATTGATGGGCTCCTGAAAAAAACTTTACGACAATAAGCCACACAAACTAGGGAATATCATCAAGAGAGAAATAAAGCACAAAGCGGAAGCGAACCGAAAGCCACAAAAGAAAAATAAAGCGAAACGTACTGGAGTTGCTAAGAGACATGCCGTCGAGTGACCTTGTCCTATAACGTATGCCTTACATAGGATAACGGAAATAACAGCATGCAGAAGCATGCTATGATGTAGTACCCAAATACCAAACTGCAAACACCGCGTGAATTCCCAAACGCGAGGAAACAAATTTTATGGGGAATAACATAGATTGCATGGAATAACTGTTCTAAACTATTTCATTTCTTTGTCTATTTATTTATTTTATTTAGCTATCAATATTTATTTAATTTATCTATTTTGACTTTCTCGTTGCCTTTTCATTCGTTTGTCTATTTGGCAAATTTATTTTATTTAGCTTCAAGGACGACAACGATCAGTATTTTTATTTAATTTCAAATCTAATTTACCATTTTTTGAAAACGGACTGTTTCCTTTAGTGAAGGAGGTTGCACCCTTCTTGATCGCAAAATGATCGTTAACATTTGATAACTTGTTATTCGACATTCTCGGAAATGGACGACGGCTACCAGTTTTCCCGCCAAAATGACGCTGGTTCACGCGAGCACAATATAGAGAAAATGTATCGTAGTCGGGGTTCTGAAGGTAGTGTATCGTAGGGGTTCATGATGTAGGGCTCGCTCTAGGTTTTATCACTGCTTAGGGGCGTGTGCTGCAAAAATAAGTGCAAAAGGGGGTTGGGCTCACTGGTTTTAGAACATGAGCAAGGCCATCTCACGAAAGTCGAAGGTCGAAGGTCCGGAAGGACGCGTTGTCCTTCAGTGGTCAAAACAGATACACTAGTATTAATGTACTTGTTTAAAAAATAAAACTGTGATTATATATAATTAATTAAAACTGTTAAATGCTTTGGCTGATTTTCTGGTAATCATTTGACTCTTTAAAATTGTACACAAGTCAGGCAACGGTGGGAAGAAAGAAAAAAGATTCGTGAAACACACCGGGGCACCGGACTCGCTTATGAGTGGACAGCACGGCGATGATATGAAGTGAAACGTTTTTTTTTTTGTTTTTTAAATTTGATCCTTTCTTTTTCAAAACCCCACAGGTGGCTAAATAAAAAACGAGGACTAAAAGGGACCCTAGCCAAATCCTTGCTAATAAGTTCCTATTCAGTAACCTCCAAAGTTTTAATTTAAGGGGTGTGGCCTTATTTTTCCACTTCGCCTCAATCTCTAAGAGGTGCCAAAAAATACAAATTGTCATGAAATGTACTTGGGCTCAATAACCCACAAATACTAAGCTTGATAACCTAAGAATCACTAATACTGGTCTTCTTAGCACCTTCCGTCAAAATTTGTCGATTTGTAAGGCTTACCCTTACAAGGGGTAGAATATGAGCTCACCTGACGGCACATATTAAACTGCTTTAGAGAGCAACAACGCTAGACAGGTGTTTTTAATAAAACAAACTTGGCAAAGTTTTAATTTTAGAGGTAAGATAAACTAGAGAAGGTTTCATTATTATGAACGTGTTAACGAGACAGGCCATAACAGACGAGTGAGAATTCATTGTGCGCAAGAAATAACGTGCCCAAAGCGAAGGTCCTCTTATCAGCTTATATGAGCTAGACAAACTCTTCAGATGTTTGTCTACTATTTGTCATGGCCGGAAACATCACGAACTACAAAAAAATATGCTTCTATCTGGAATTTTGCCTGAAATCACAAAGCAACTGTCGCTACGCAGTTTCGTTCCACTGAGCGCAGTAATTCTCGTAAGGGGCTAAATGAGTTTTGAATGAGCAATTGGAAATAGAGTGGTGACTTACCAACAACCTCAATTTTGGAATTATTAACAAGCTTCGAAAGCTGATAAACTCCAGTGCTCCAAAAAGTATTACGGAAGCTGTCACCTATTTGTGGTTACACGAAAATCTTAACCTAAAAAACTCCCCATGAGAAATAGATTTTCGACAAAATAAAGCTAACTGGTTGGATTTTCTTGGCGTTCATTCCCTTTCGCACTTGTATTTTGAAACATAAAAGTTGTCTCCGGCTTAATAGCATTTTTATCTCTGTTAAAATCTTGAAACACACTGCGAGTTTTGCTCTGTTTATCGTAAGAAGTGGATTGCTGTAAACAATTTGCGCATTTTTAGAATGACTTTGTTATCGCTTACTTTATCGCTATTAAAAGTCCATCAAGTTAAGGCGAGAACCTGGCAGCTTTAAATGGAACGGTTCCTTATCCAGCTGACAGGAATTTCAGAAACTATCGCAGAGGCCATAAAATCATTTCCTAGGAATGGACGGTAGAAATAACCCCTGGATTGACAAAAACAAAAAAGAAATTTAGTTTTTCAGTTCATGATTCACGATACTCAGGAGTCCATAAGTCATGGGCTCCTGACGATAGATATTCACTTCTATACCAACCGATCTACCCATTAGCCGGAAAGAGGATAAAAAGAATCTCAAAGAAATGTTATTATTGCGCTGCTGATCAATAACGATTTGTTCGGACGAGAAAAAAGAATAAACAATACTGATCAAGCAGGGCGGATTCTCTCCTTTTAACGCCTTCTATGTTTGTTGCCAGTGAGTCACCGCAAATGTAAGATCGATCACACATGTAATGAAAACAAACAGAACAAGTTATAAATCACAGAACACTTACGAGCATTCAGAAGGGTTACGAGAATAGAGGTAAAACTGATGGATATTTTATCGTGGACATTTTTGCCTGATGGCAGGCGGTATCAGCAAACAGTCTCAAACACTAAAGTGAAAGAAAAAGCGCCGCAGTGTTGGAAACAAGGAGCCAAACAGTGGGAAGGGGACTGATTCCAAATAGTAGTTTATTCTGTAACCATTTTTCTAAGCCGATATCACATGAGTCCATCATGTTTACAGCAAAAAAGGTTTCCAAATACAGCCGATGTAAAACCGGGAAATGTCTTTAAGCGGCTTTTTGACCTTAACAGAGCTTAACTTGACTATTACGTAAGCTGCTAATTGAATAATGATTGTTCGAGTTTTTTCTTGTTATTTGCAACAACTTAACGCGAAGAGGAAGGCAGCTGCTACAGAGGCATTTATAAGGCAGGTTATCGCCAGTTGAGGGTTTTATTCAATCAAACCACACAGGACGAAAACTGCTTCTCTTGCGGGGAAAATTGATACACTAGTTAGTTGTGCGACGATATGTAGAGCGATAGCACTTGACCTGGCTAGAGAAAGTTCGTGATGATATTCCACAGGCGGAGACGAGAGATAAATAGACCAACAAATGCCTTATCAGTAACATAATATATCAAGAGAACGCTCGTTCTGTGACCGAAACTGAGATTACGCGATATGGCCACGACTTACTGCATGATCTAGTTCTTTGTACTTAGCATCGAAAAGAGATATCACTTGTGTCTTTTCAACTACGTACCGATTAATCACAAGCCGTAAGATACGTGATTTGACTAGTTCCTACCCGCCTGAGCTTGAATTAGACGCTTTTTCAGATTAAACGTTTTGCCAGCCATATCATCTTGTTTCATCCCCTTACGGGGTCAGACCGGATTATATTCGAATAACTTCGAAAAAAGTGGAAAACTTAGCGAGATGGAGAGCAGAGTGAAGCGCAAGTTTGCTCAATGGCATTGAGCAAACTTGCACTTTCTTCCGTTTTCTCGATAATCTGAACGCCAGGAAGTAAGGAAAAAGGTAAACTGAGTTGTTTGCCGTCACGCTCCGTCCATGATATTCAAGAATGATTGATAAAAGCAAAGTAAACTGAATTAGCGAAAATTAAAGTAATTTCTGCCTGAACAGTACTGAAAAACCTACGGTTTAGCCCCATATTGCAGTCGAACTGCCACGCTATCTTCTTTGCCCGCGAACATCATCCAATTTGTCAGTAAAATGATTCAAAGGGCAGTCGATAGGTGTATATACCACTTTATTCAAATAGCCTAATCCAATTTGAACTTTCTTCGTGTTTCCTACCGTACTCTGCATTGAACATACATCTCTGTTTATTGTAAAATTATTGAATGAGGGGTCAGTTGATAATTACACGTATCACACCACACTGTGGGTTACTCTTCCAAGTGGATGGTTTTATATGCCGCTTCGGGAAATAACCTTCAACAACAGCCGAGCTGCACCCATATTTTTTACAGTAACACAGTTTAGAATGTATGAATCCATTTGCGTTGAAAAATCTACCATATCATTCAGCGATGCATTCCTTTCAGTTTTAAAAACAAAGTGTACTCAAAATATTATGCGTTGTTTTCTGTGATAAATCAAACATTCTTTTTCGTAGAGAGACTTAAAGTGTTATAAATTGCTATGTCCCAACGCTAATAGCTCATTCCATGAATAACTATTCCGCCCATCAAAATGAAACAATTTATAAAATTATTAAATTGACCGAGGTAATGACGCATACGAAAAGATAATTGAAGATGAAATCGATAAATGTGTGAGTTGGAATCACATTGCACGAAAAAATTCA